TATGCTATTATGACGAGTCTCGAGTTACTTTATTATTTTCTTTTGTTTATTAATTTAGGCTTGAGTCCATTAATAGTTGATGCGACTTAAGATTTTCTAAGTCTATTTGTATTAGGGATATTTAGCTATCATGTCACTGCAAATGGGAAAAAGTGCAGCAACACTTATTTTTTTCAGGATACGCGTGCGGATCCTGATTTTTTTTTTTTTTTAGGCCAGGATACGACCACGTATCCTAGTGTTAAAAATTTACTGCAACTTTTCTCATCAGCAGTGAAAGGAGAACCGACGAACCCTTTGTATTATCTTATAACCAAATAGTGTATTGTAACTAGTACCTTGAGAATTATATAATGATAGATTTATTGGACGTAACCCTATATTGCGGTTAATCAGGCAAATATTTAATATGGTCAGGATCACTGAATTTTTTGGTACTCCTTCTCACATCATTAATTTTTTCTTTCCCTTTTTATCCCTGTTATTTTCTCTCTTTTCCAATTTTACCCTCCTATTTACACTAAGGGATCACCTAAAAAATGGTGGTCCCAGTTCACAAAAAATAATGTCGTTAACCAGGATACCATATCTCCCGTTTTTCCTCCCTTCTTCCTTTTCTATTTTTGATTATGTGTGTGATTGAAACAATCCTACATTTTATAGAAATTTATAAGAATTTTTTGGTAATAAATATTCTAAAACCACATATTAAGAAATTAAAAAATAATTAATAAAAGAAATAAAACACTCAATTATTAAGAATTTAAAAAGTGTACATTAAATATTTTTTATTCCTTAACAAGTACGGGTACTATTTATCAAAACTCAATGTGTAATACATAAAAATTGTATAGTCAGTTCATGAAATATGATTTAAAAGAAAACAGAAATTTTTTTTTGTCTTTTTATATTTTGTTTTTTTGTTTTTTTTTTCTTGTAAAATAGTTGGCCTTAGAGCTACGTGACTTAGCTCGTCATATTGCACTGGATGAATTTGGTTTTATCATTTTTATTATATAAGAGGTACAAGCATTTGGATTTTGGGCAAGAAAAGAAGCAGGCGAGTGATTCCACCTTAATATTCGGGACTGAAGTTAATACCAATTGAACTTCAAGCTCATTAGCTTATACTTTGAATATTTGACCAAGCTATTTATGTAAGAAAGAGTGCCAATTAATTTGCGATGTGTTAAATTACAGTTGTGTCATGATATAGAATATTACAACATCGTACTCAATGATACAATCTCAATTGCTTATCAAACCATTTACTTTTGAGTATCAAGTATTTCCTTAAATAAAGATGACCACAAATGCAGAACTACTCATTAATCAATTTACTTTGTAAATTTAACAAGGTGAAAAACAGGTTACATGCATGCTAAAAAAAGCTTAAATGAATTAATCTACACGACTTAACATCATTATACTCATTTAAATAAAAGAATCAATTATTTTTTTATATTTTATATTTTTTTTAACATCATTCAACCTCCTCCAGTCACCTTGTCCTCCGAGTACAACCTCGAAGGCTACCTCTCCAGTCATCAAGAATTACGATCCTATACGGGAAGACTATGTTGTTTTCAAACTTAAAATCTCATAGTTAACGTACACTTAGACTTAGTAATAATGAGAAAATTCTCGGTTAATAGTGTGTATTGATTGTTTAAAAACCTAATAACATATTTTTTCTTGTAAAAAGAATTTGTTTTAGTGATTAACGTTAGGATATTATTTAAGGAATTAAAAGGAAAAAGTATTAAATCAAGATAAAACTTTTAATTTTCCAATATATTAGATGCTTCACTTTTCACTTAATATTTCCATTTTTTTATAGCAAAAGCCTTTAGCACACTTCGTAGTAAATTTGTAACAAGAAAAATAAGTTGTTAATTCTTCTTCTTTTTTGGTAAGCAAGTTGTTAATTCTTTAACCAATTTGATACATGTTGTTGACAAATAATTAAATTATCTATTACTAAGCGTACGATTTTAATTCTAAAGAAACAATTTGCATAGATGAATGCCTCAAAGTTTTTTTTTTCTTTTTTGCATCTCATAAATATGTGTCTTAGAATTGATTAAAGTCATTATAATACAACAAGGCCAATTATTTCCCATACTTCTAACAATTTCAAAAGCAGCTCTTATATGCTCACAAATATTTTCAATAAAAGTTAGCTAAACAAATAATTTCTATTAAAAGTTAATTAAACAAATATTTTCAATGAAAAGTTAATTACATTATTTACGAACAACTAAGATTTATCTTCCTAAAAATCTCCACATGATCAACAAGCACAATTTTATTTTAATTTAAGTAAATATTCATGTAATCACTTTTCTCACTTTTCTGTCAAGAATGAAATGGATATCCATGTATATTTGGAGTAGAACTTTCCACCGGAACTGTATTCCATTGACACCCCTGCCCTTAAGATCAATAAAACATATTAACTTTATGTTGTGTGTTGGAAGAAATAGGTATTTTTCCCACCAACCAATTTACTTAAACAAGGGCTATACAACGTCTAATTTTTATGCATTCAATCAACTATGTGATTTTTTTTTGTTTGCTGTACAAAAGCAAATATGTGAATTTTAAATGTAATAATATAGATCATTGTTTGTAGAAAATAAAACTAGTGCTATAAAGACTAAATTTTTCAAAAGTTAATGAAGATCGAAAAAAAAAAAATTTGTTGTGAAAAGTTACTGATTATATTATATTCAAAATAATAATATAATTTTTTTTCCTTGATAGCTAAACAAATACTTTTAATAACATATGGGCTAAAAAACATACGAGTAACAATTTACTTTGATAGTTTTTTTAAAAACATCCTCCAATCACATAAATTTTTTCCTTTGATAGCTATAAAAATAGATGATACCGTTCAAAAATAAATATATTAACAATAAATCTGCAAAAGTAAGCATGGCGGTGGACGTGCCGGAGTGGTTATCGGGCATGACTAGAAATCATGTGGGCTCTGCCCGCGCAGGTTCGAATCCTGCCGTTCACGTTTTATTTCACGACCCTTTTATTTTATTTTTATTTCTTTATACATACGATTTTATAATGCAAGGGTAACGTCATGTAGAGGTGTTCGCGGTCTGGATTAGACCGATTTTGCAAAGGTGTTCACAGTCTGGATTGGACCGGCCATCATCTGAACCAGGTGGCCCATTCTTTAAGTTATTTTTTTAATCGAATAAATATTCTCATGTGGCCCGTTCTTGAAGTTATTGTTTTAATCGAATAAATATTCTCATGTTACAAGATAACAATGTCTCTTTTCTACGGACACATTTCATTAGTGAATTTCATGAAAAATATTTCTCTCACTTTATTTTTTTTCTGTCTTTTAAATTCTTCTTTCTACCGGAAGGGGTTACTAGGAACACTGACCAAAATATCACTGTTCACCAAGTTTTTTACCTAAATGCCACACGAACAGTGTTATTTTCCAATCTGCTACGGGGGCAAGTTCGTTACTCGGTGTAGCGAACTCGGTTTGCTGATGTGTCACATTTATAGTGGATAACAAGTACCAAGTTAAAAAAAATATTACGAAGGTCGCTACATTGGGTAGCGAACTTGGTGTCCACTAAAAACGTGACACGTCAACAAATCGAGTTCGCTACACCGGGTAGCGAACTTGCCCCCGTGGCAGATTGGAAAATAACACTGTTTGCGTGGCATTTAGGTAAAAAACTTAGTGAACAGTGGCATTTTGGTCACTGTTTTGGGGTTACTATTCTCCACGAGAATAGTATTACCTTTTTTTTAAGGGTTTGATGTTTGACATTTTAAATGACACAAGTTATGTCATTTTAGGAGAGAGATATACACAGAAAAATAGAAATCATGGGAGAGAGAAAGTGGGTGGTTTTTTTAATTTAAAATTTAAATAAAAAAATTCTGTGTCTGTCTCTCTCTTAAAATGACATAACTTTATGTAATTTAAAATGACAAACACTTTTCTCTTTTTCAAAACATACATTTATTTTGATGAACCGAAACAAATTTTTTTTGACACTAATATTAAATTATCTTGTCCTAAAGTATGGAATAAGATTATTTGACACCGTTATCAAATTAAAAGTTTGACACATCATCTCAGGGCTGTTAGATAAAGACAGATCAATGGTATTACATACATACAAATCAGAGTCGTTAAATTAATACAAGATCAACGACTCTAAGATGATGTGCCAAACTTTTTGTTTGACACCAATATCAAATAATACTATTCCTAAAGTAAGGGACAAAATCATTTGACACAGTGTCACATTAAACTTCATTTGAGGATCGTTAGATCAAAATAGATCAACAATACCACATGCTTACAAATTAAAGCAGTTAGATTAAGGTAAAATCAATGACTCACAAATAATCATGTCCCTTAAAATATAAATTAATAATACATTTAAATCTCAATCTTACTTTTCACCGCGCTTACATATAACTTTTTTAAAATAATAGCAATCAAATGTTATTCAATTAAATAAAGTCGGCTATACGGATTCAAGTTCAACTATGTCATTTAACTGTTAAAAATGAAATTTTGATAAAACTAAAATCTCGTATTTTTTACTCTTAATTTTTACTGAACTTTACAATTTATACGAATAATGTAGGAAGTTTGACTCATATTTTTAATTTATACGGCTCTTTTCCTTTAATTTGCATTTTGGTAAAATTTTCTTTTTACATTGTGTGGGTGTATAATTGGTTTTGGATGAAGTTAACCATAAGAAGGGCCCATGGGCCTAAAACAAAGCTCAGTCGAATCTATTTCTATATTTGGATTATTACATTTATGAAAAAGTAGAGTTAGAGGAGAAAGAATGCTAGTCCTGGAAGTGATGCTAAAATGCTACGTGTCGATCAGTGATTGGTTGATGTCAGGTGGCACGTAAAATATCATTGGTTGAAACATGTCGATCTACAAAGCTTAAAGTGCTGCATCACACTCACATTCTCACCCTGAATATATAATTAGATCTAAGAACAGAATAGTTTTCATTTCATTTCAGGATTAGTTAGGGTTTGGCGATTGAGGGAGAGAGATGGAAGAACGAAAAGGAATCACTGTGGCTATGGCGGTGCTCCTCTTCTTCATTGCTTCCTCTTCCTTTCAGCTTCTCTCTGCTTCCGATGATGCCGACGACGCGGTAATTCGGAGGGAACTCTTCCTTCTTTTCTCTCTCTTTTTTGTGTGTGTTTGATCTCTGATTGGCGAATGCTTCTGTTGTTTTTAGATCTTCTACGAGTCGTTCGATGATGATTTTGACGGCCGTTGGATTGTATCCAACAAGGACGATTACAATGGTAAATAGACTCTACTCTTACACTGTGTTGATCACTGGTGGATGATGTCGTTTCATTCGTTCTTGTTTTCCTTACCAACTGCTTGTTAGGTTTCTCTTAACCTTGAACTTACCCGGCCTAGTTAAAGGTTGAAACAAATTGCGTGCATACTTCATTCAAATCTGTTTCTGCAGCTACGAGAGGTATAGGAAATCCTTTGCAGAATCCAAAATACGCTTTGAGAATTTTCAAATAGGTTCCTTATAAATCATTATAAATGAGTCAGTACTCAGTGCGGGTATATATATACGACCCTGTAGTCGCTGAACACTTCGAAAATATTTTAGAAATTATGGGGAATTAATTATAAATTTTTAAACTGTAGGAATCTTTTTGAAAGTTCTCAAAAAAATATACGAAAGATTATGGTGGAAATGTTGAGGATTTATTGACAATCTATTGTGAAATAATGAATGACGGATACCTCAATTATTATACACATAGAAATTAAGGATTTTACATCCTATCAGTAACCAAATCTGTTATTAATGAAAGTTAATGTAGAAATTAAGGATGTATATATAGTAAGCAAATATATTATTCAGGCGAGTTTGCTAAGTTAAACGTTCGACTACTGTGTTCCAGTAGTGGTGCATTTTGGAAAAGGGCTATATATCCCCAAACCAAGAATGTTTAAGCAGTCACTGACTAGGATTTAGTTTGCAATGATTAGGAGTTGATTCCACATATTGTGGTGGTCCAAGCGTATTGTAGACAAATGTATAAATCTCATAAATTACCCAGTTGCTACTTACTTTGGATCCTGGAAGTTTAGAGCGCCGCATGGGAGTTGTTTTTTCCACAAGTAATAAATTAATTTCATTCTCTCTTTTTTTTTTTCATATTTCAAAATTGAGGGAAGCAAATAAATAATTTTATTGAAATGAAATTGAATGTATTTTATTATATTATATTTTGTTCTATAATATTTTAAAGGGGAAGGATATACTTATCACCAAAAACGTTTATTACTTAACTTCTGTGGTTTAAAACTTATTGCTTTGATGTGATGAAAATTGAAATGTGAAAATATGTGTATCTCTTATTTATGCTCTTAGATTTATAGTTTCTGATTACACTGTCGTTAAAATTGAGCTAGAGATATTTTTTCCATTTATTCTTCATTTCATTTCTTTCCTTCATTCTGGGGGCATATTTGAAGAACTGAAGTAGATTTGTGTTCCTTTTTTTTTTTGGTTCGGAATCCCCTCATAGCTGTTCATTAGATAATTTGATCAACCAAATTTTGTATTTATTTTGTATTTGTTAATTGGGTTGTAGGTGTCTGGAAGCATGCTAAGAGTGATGGACATGATGATTATGGACTTCTCGTTAGTGAACAAGCCAGGAAATATGCTATAGTTAAAGAACTTGATGACCCTGTCAGTCTTAAGGAAGGAACAGTTGTTCTTCAGTTCGAGACTCGCCTTCAGAATGGCCTTGAATGTGGTGGTGCATATCTTAAATATCTTCGTCCCCAGGAGGGTGGATGGAAACCCAAGGAATTTGACAATGAATCTCCATATTCTATCATGTTTGGTCCTGATAAGTGTGGTGCTACAAACAAGGTGCACTTCATTTTCAAGCATAAGAATCCCAAGAATGGGGAGTATGTTGAACACCATCTCAAGTATCCCGCTTCTGTCCCATCTGACAAACTATCTCATGTGTACACTGCTATTTTGATGCCTGACAATGAATTGCGAATTTTGATTGATGGGGAGGAGAAGAAAAAGGCAAATTTCTTATCCTCTGAGGATTTTGAGCCTCCCCTTATCCCTCCCAAGACCATCCCAGATCCTGATGATAAGAAACCCGAGGACTGGGATGAGAGAGCCAAAATTCCAGACACAAGTGCTGTGAAGCCAGATGACTGGGATGAGGATGCACCCATGGAAATTGAAGATGTAGAAGCTGAGAAACCTGAAGGATGGTTAGATGACGAGCCAGAGGAAATAGATGACCCAGATGCAACAAAACCAGAAGATTGGGATGATGAGGAGGATGGTGAATGGGAAGCCCCAAAGATTGATAACCCAAAGTGTGAAGCGGCCCCTGGTTGTGGTGTGTGGAAGAGGCCAATGAAGATGAATCCAGCTTATAAGGGAAAATGGAGTGCCCCCATGATTGATAACCCCAATTATAAGGGTATATGGAAGCCTCAGGAGATTCCAAACCCTGACTACTTTGAACTTGACAAACCTGATTTTGAGCCTATTGCTGCTATTGGTATTGAGATTTGGACAATGCAAGATGGCATACTGTTCGACAATATTCTGATAGCTAAAGATGATAAGATTGCAGAGTCCTATCGGGAGACTACATGGAAGCCCAAGTTTACGATTGAGAAAGAGAAACAGAAGGTTGAAGAGTCCGCAACCGGTTCAGATGGTATTGCAGGCTTCCAGGTAATGAAAGAAATTTGCGGTTTTCATCTGCACCTTCTCTCTCTTTTACTTTCCAAACCCACCCTCCCCTCCTTCCCTTTAACTCTCTTATTTCTTATGCCTGGTGTTAATTTTTGACTTTGTAGAAGAAGGTGTTTGACATCTTATACAAGATTGCCGACATTCCCTTCCTGAGTGATCACAAACTTAAGATTTATGTGAGTACCGAAGTATCAAATAATCAAACTAACACTCCTTTTTTAATTACTCATTATGTTTCACTTAATGGAATCTGACCTATATTTTATGCATGTCTGCAGGATGTCATTGAAAAGGGCGAGAAGCAACCAAATCTCACTATTGGGATTATTGTAGCCGTTGTGGTTGTCTTCGTGTCAATTTTCTTCAGGATCATATTTGGTGGGAAGAAACCTGTGAGTAGTGAAAACTTTTTCTCCCATGCACCTTCATATTTCTTTCCTGGAGGTATTGTTTATGACTTTATGTTAAATCTTATAACCATGTCTCTTCTTGCGCAGGCAAGGGCTGCAGCAAGGGTGGAGAAGACGAAAGAACGCGCAGAAACTTCCAATAACCAAGCTGGTGGAGAGAATGAAGAAAACAAAGAGGAGAAGGAGGAAACATCTGCTGCTCCGCGTCGGAGGATAAAAAAGCGAGACGATTGAAATGGTTGAAACTCAAACAGGGGCGTCCTCTTAAGTATCATCACCACAGATAAATTTTGGACTTAGTTGGATTTTAGGTTCACTTCGTTTTCATTTTTCTCCTTTTAAAAAAGAAAAAGAAAAATATTATATGCTTAAGGAGTGTAGATCTTCTCCCTTTTGGATACTTGAGTGTTTTGAGCTAATTGAAGTTGTACAATTATTTTTTTCTTTTATTTTTCTAGTAATGGATTCTGTTTTTGACGAAGCTCAGAATACCTAGCAACGTTCCCATAGTTAAACGAAAATCCTGATGCAATATAATACAACGAAAGTACTTTAGAATGAAAAGTGACTATTTACAAAATTGTTTTAAGAGAATTTAGTGCAAGTTTTTATAGTAGTAATTAAGTTTTTGATGTGGCCAATAATTTCTTACAACATAATAAATGTGCTAATAGTGTAAATTTTCTACACAAAATATAGATAAAGTAAAATTGTTTTAAATGCAGCTTATCGTAATCATAAAAAGGACCGTTACTCGTAGGTTTCTTCTTAGACTTTATATTGGCAACTTGTCCGCCACTGCATTTGGATCGCCCTCTTTTCTCAAGCACTATACATGAATTTGAAGCTACTTTCTGCAAATCTTTCAAAATTTTCACTGCTAACTCATTTTTAGATCATGTTAAGGAATATTTTATTTCCGTTAAAGTCCACTAGTCGGCAAGTCATACACATAGTAATCTTTAACTCTTAACATGGCATTTCTTATTTTAGGAAAGTGATCTGAATCCTTTCATTACCTATAGGGTATAGCTTTTTCAGACGGAGAGCTTTGGATTATTATTCACTTGGTTCAATTGATTAATTTGCCGAAATATACAACATATTAAAGAATAATGTATATCAGAAATAAGTCTGTTGCACTATTAGTTGGAGTCGTTTGGTTGATGTGATTAAAGCCTGCATCACTTTCCCTAGTTTTCAGGTGTTTTGGAATAGCATCCGTTTTGAACCGTTCCTCCCCTCTAGAGACATTCGCCAGGGGGATCATATTTCGCCGTACTTATTTGTGTTGTGCATGGATAAGCTCTCCCATTTGATTGTGAAGTGGTGAGGTCCAAACGATGAAAACCAATGAGAGCTGGGCGGAAAGCCCTTTTTATTTCACACCTTATGTTTGCTGATGACCTAGTGCTCTTTGGAGAAGCTAGTCTTAGTTAGTTGGAAGTAATGTTGGATACTCTCAAGACTTTTTGTGATATGTCTGGTCTGGTGAGCATAGAGAAGACCGTGATCTATTTTTCAAAGAACATTGCTCCTGGTGTGAAGGAGATGTTAACCGAAGCCAATGGGTTTACGGTTGCTGAATCTCTAGGGAAGTACTTGGGGGCTTTTTTGTATCATGGGAGAGGTAGAAAGAAGAATTTTGCTTCCATCATCCATCGTGTTAAATCTCGACTTGCGGGATGGAAAAGAAACCTCCTCTCTTTTGCAAGTTGCTCCACCCTTGCCAAGACAGTCATCAGCTCCATCCCAACCTACCATATGCAGCATGGCTCTATTCCTCTTTCAGTTTGCAGCGAGATTGAGAAGCTCCAAAGAGCCTTCATTTGGGGAGATTGTGCGGAGAAGAAAAAAGACCACCTTGTTGCTTGGAATGATTTGTGCAAGCCTGTGTGGGCTGGAGGCTAGGCATTCATAGTCTAAAGGCCCATAATGAAGCTTTCTTGTTTAAAGTGGCTTGGCACATTTTGAATAATAGAAATGCTCTTTGGATTCTGGTGTTGCTGGGTAAATATGAAAGAAAACTTGACATTAGACGTTCGACATCATGTGAACCTTATGATTCTATTTTTGGAAAGGCCTTTGCCGTATCTTGGAAGATTTCCTGGGGAGTTTGCAGTGGAAAGTGAACAATGGGAAAGATATCAATTTCTGGACGGATCGGTGGACGCAACTTGAATTCCCCATCAATGAGTGCCACCTATCCAATCTTTCCTCTACGAATTTGGAGGCTAAAGTTGTGAACGTGGTGAACTTGGACACTGGGGGCTGGCATCTGGAATTCCTTCAAAGAGTGCTTCCTAGGGAGGTAGTTAACCACATAAGATCGTTCATTCCTCCAACAGCAGATGGGGAGTCAGATCAATTAGTGTGGAGGAGCAATTCGAAGTCCAAGAGCATTGTTAAACATGCTTACAACACAATCATGGGATTCGAAGCTATTACCAGGGATCATGTATGTGGATATATTTGGAAATGGCAAGGCCCTCAACGTCTTCGCCACTTCATCTGGCTTACCTTTCATGGTTGTATTCTCACCAGAGACGTCACAGCTAACTGGGGAGGGTCCCCTTTCTGCCACACGTGCCTGGATAAAGTAGAAGACATTATGCATGTTTTGCGTGACTGCAAAAAAGCGATCCTTGTTTGGAAGTTCTGGTTCTCGGGTAATATTCCCATCGATTTTTTGTACCTGCCCCAGGAAGAATGGATCCGCAAGAACGTAACTAAGGGGTGGCCCCATGCGCAACCCCTTGATTGGCAAGACATTTTCACTACTACCTCCTGGTTCTTATGGAACTGGAGAAACAAAGAAATTCATGAAGCTCATTTTGTCAGACCTGCCAACCCTCACATTCTCATCATGAATTATATTATGGAAATTAAGAATGATACTGGTAAAAATGACTCTTGCAGAACAGCCCCTTTGGAGAGGCACATGCTGAAGTGGAAGCCTCCCCTGACTGAATGGTGGAAGCTGAATGTTGATGCTGCTACGAAGAAGAATCCCCGCCAAGCTTCGTGTGGGGGTCTCATTAGGGATGATAAAGGAAGATGGATTTCTGGGTTCATCTATAACATTGGCAGCTGTGACCCGTTGACAGCAGAGCTCTGGGGGATTCTCGAGGGGCTTCAATTTGCCTGGGATATAAAAGCCCAGAACCTCATTATAGAGAGTGACTCCCTTCAGGCTATTCAGGCGCTTATTACTAGGAGAGAGGACAATGCTTGCTTTTCCTTGAACAATTCTATCCAGAGCTGGCTAGAGAAGGATTGGCACATTGTGTTGCTGCACGTTCGAAGAGAGGAGAATTCTTGTGCAAACTGAATTTCTAAGTCTGCTTTTTAACTTTCATGATATTTTTGTAGTCCTTCACAGTGTCCCCCTTGGTTTGGGGCCTTTGGTAGAGAAGGAGGCTACTGATTTGTAGCTTTTGTTCTGTTTTCTGGGCTTGAGCCCTTCATCAATACTAAAAAAAAAATCAATTTATATTGACTAATGAATCATATATGATCTATTTTTCTCTGAAGATATGATGAACTGTAGTCATGTCAGATTACTCAAATCTCTCAAAAGAAGATTAATAACGCAGAGGTTCTCAACACAAATTCCTATATAAAGTAAATAAATAAATCACAAATAATTAATACGTGAGATATCATTTTACCGTAATCTTTATCCCTGACTCGCCTCGCACTCCGTATTAGTTTGTCAACTCTAAGAGTCAAAGCTTCTGGGAATACCGGAAGGAGCCTAGTCGCTTCAAAGAAGTAATTAGGATATATTTAGAAAAAAACAAAAAAACATGTTAATAAAAAAATAAAATGAACTGGGTATCCAGGAGCTATCATGGAGTGTTTTCAGACTTTATATTATAATGGTTAATGGATTACGAAAATCTATATATGCATAATGCCTTAATGCGTCACACTTCCTCTTCTTATTCTCGGTCGCTCAGTTCCTGTACTTCGATGATGTTAAGAGTCCCAGGTGTTGCGCGACCTTTGGCGCTGCTGCCAAAGTTGATTTAAACTAAGAGAAAAATAAGTATCATGTTGTAGGAACATAGTATTATTTTCCTACATACACATAAAAGTACATGTGTCTCATTTTTTTATTTTCTCTCATCACTCTTTTCTCTCTCCTCTTTATTTTTGTGTGTGTAGGAAAGGGGTATTGTTTTCCTACAACACGAGGAAAACAAACCCCTTAAACAAATTAGTCCATAGTTGTTGGCTTTTTTACCATTCAGAAGCAAAAACCAAAAATATATGTCTCATATGTGGTAGTCGCGCAGTGACACCAAACTGGAGTAACATCCCTTTTTTCTCACTTTTCTCACTCTAACACGTGCAATTCTTTCTCTTCAAAAAGGACATGAAACTCCATGAAGAGCCTCAGACCATCATTTTTTGTGACAGTAACATGATACTACAAGTTTCCTACAACATGATATATATAAAACTATATATATATATATATATATATATATATATATATATTTGTCATAATTTGGAGTGACGTGGATATCCCTATAAGATTTTGTGGCAAAATAATTGACGTTGTCATGTCAAATAAAGCAGTGAAGTTACACAGACCGAATAGTGGCAAGACCATATTTGAAGGTAAAATTGGTGTTGGTTTTATGGCATAATATTGTCCAAAGTGATAATGTTCTTAATGATAATTGAGGTTATTATGGTGGTGAATCGGAGGCATGTATAACATGGAGAGACATATGACAACGAGGATTGATAAAGTGGGAGATGTCATAAAATGTCATTTAACATAATATATATATATATATATATATATATATATATATGTGTGTGTGTGTGTGTGTGTGTGTATATGTATATATAAAATATATGTTGTTATAAAATTGACAGGAAAAATAAGAAAAAGGAATAGAACTCCAGAGAGAAAGAAAATATGTTCCATTTTTTCATTCCCGAGAACACTAGAGGAAGCTCCTATTTATAGTATACGAACAGTAACCATGAATAGTAAACTTGTGAATGATTAGTACTAAACATTTACCTTATGTATGAATAACAACCATAACTTTAGGCCTACTGGTTCAAAAGCATTGCCTGAATAGCACAAAAATCATGATTTTTTAGCAATAATTCATTGGTTTGCTCAGCAATCAAAAACACATAAGTCAACTCAGAATATGTGACAAATTGGCATTGTCGTATTGCTGTTGCAATACTATATTAGAAGCATGAAAGGTGGGGAAAGTTTTATCTAGTAGTTCTACATCATTGAGCATTATACCGCATAACTTAAGTCGAGAAACAATTTCAAATAAAGCAGGATTATAATCATACACTGATTTAAAGTCTTGCAGTCTGAGATACTGCCAATCATACTGTGCTTGAGGAAGAATGACAGTCTTGGTATGATCATACCTATCCTTCAAACTCTTCCAGAGGATCTGAGGGTCTGGAACGGATAAATACTGAGTTTGCAGACTCTCATGCAAATGACGACGGATAAAAATCAGTGCATTTGTTTTATCCTTCTCATCAGAGCTTCCAACATTTGTAATAACATTAGAGAGACCTTGTCCTTGAAGATGCATTTCTATATCAAGGCACTAAGACAAATAATTATTTTCACTCACTTCAAGGATGTGAAATTTGGGATTTTCAATAGTTGCCATAATACTGCCAGGATTATACCCCTGCTACTTCAGGAGCAGGAATAATAAAAATAAAATAAAGAATGAGTAGGAGAATATGAATTAGAAATCGGTAAAGAATACCAACCTTGGAGATGAAAATTTTCTCTTTCCTTTGTGGATCTAATAACCTTAGTTTGATATGGTAAAGGCTATCGTGCTGATAACGTGTTATAAAATTGATAAGAAAGATAAGAGAAAGGAAAAGGATTCCAGAGAAAAAGTAAATGTGCTCTGTTTTTCAATTATATGAAAATAATGGAGGAAGCTCTTATTTATAGAAACAAAATTTCATTATTTGCACAGTACCTATGAACAATAAACCTGTGCATGAATAGTAAACTCGTGAATGAAAAGTAACGTCGTGTATGAACAGTACCCGCGTATAAAACGTGTATGAATAGCAACTACGATATAAGTGGTTACACTACTCATAATAAATGAGGTGTAGAGGTAGGGTGTTGAAACATCCACAAATATATTTCATAACACTCCCCTTGGATGTTCACATATTATTATATGCTAATTAGACTGCCTCATTAAAAACCTTTTCAAGAAAAACCCAATGAGATAAAAACTTAGTAAAGGAAAAAAGAGTACAATGCATACTACTCCCCCTCAATTAAGCCATATAGCTACTGCTGGAGTTAAGGAAATGGAGCAATACTTACAATTTTCCAATGTCATGACTGTTAAATTTTTCAATGTCATGACTGTTCAAGTTCACACTTGTCTTTTCTTTTTGTCCTTTCGCATTTTAAACAGATTTTGAATAACATCCTCGTGCTCTTTAATATCAGCTCTAGGTGGTTTCATTTTCAACGAAGCCATTTATTTCTATTATCTTGTATTAAACACATTTCCAACAAAACATAATGTCAGGAAAGGGAAGGAGGTTGTTGTAGGATCCTCAACCCAGAATTATAAAGTTATATGTGTTTTTGTTGGAACCAAATTAGGAAATAAGAGAGTGTGTAATGATGTTGCCAAAGAACTTGGACAAGAGATGGCAGCTAAGGCTATAAATCTTGTCTATAGGGGAGGAATATAAGGTTTAAGTGGAAATGTTGCACTGACTGCAAACATGAGACGAAGCCATGTTTTAGGTAGCAAATTACATCAGCCAAGTGATTCTAACCAATTTCTTACACTATAAGTTCAGAATGGAAGGTGTAGAATATGTATGAGCAAATGTGGTACATGTTTCAATATGCCGATGCTTTCATTGCCTTACCCGGAGGATTAGGAACTCTAGAGCCCCTTTTCAATATTGCATCATGGGAAATTTTGAAGATAGATAGAAAACCATTAGGCTTTTTAAATGTTAATGGTTTTTATGATGGTTTACTAACCATTTTCGACCATGTAGTAGAAGCCGAATTCATGACTCAGGAGGCAAGACAGTTGATAATCTCTTCGTCAAATGTCAAGCAATTGATCGACCAGATGATAAACCTGGCACCAGAGCTTGGTCTGCCCATGAGACAAGTGAATCAAAACCCTTAAGGCAGGGGTGGAAGAGATGAGCCAAACACAACTCTTCATTTGTAATTTAATTATCAAAATCCACTTGTATGCAGAAAGGTTTATTTCATTGCTTTGTTTCCACAAAGAGATGCATATCATATAGTCAGCATCAAAATATTCCACAATGTAAAATTTTCATATCATGGGTAGATCCATGAAGATAACCAAAATATGATTAACGTCATTCAAATATCTAGCTAGAACTTTTACTACAAAAGAAATATCAGGCCTGTTGCAATTTGCAAAGTATAATAGTGTTCCTATGACGCTTAAGATTATGAGCTTCATGTCCTACTCCTTTATTGTTAGTTTCTTTTGGTCTAAATGGATTTGTATTCACTTATAGTGAATGGACCATCATTGCGTCACTTGTGTAGTAATATTGGTGTAATAAAATAACTAATTTTGGAAGATGTTCTATCTGCAGGCCAAGATAATAATATATTTGAGACCATTATACAATTATCTTTGTAGCATAATGTTAAACATGCTGCAAGAGCTACTGAGAGGGCATTGAGTCGTCGATGACAGTTAGAAATTTATTATATTTTTATCTCATATCACTGTAGTGTATTGCAATTTTTATATAAACATCAACTAAATCTTTGTCGTTTTCCATGACATTCATATTTGGGCGTTCCATATTCCCGGGATTGTTGCACTTAGCAACTACATTTTTTTTTACCGGGTTTGCTTTCTTCAGGATTAACCTCTTCAAAAGGCGCGATGAGTGACTTACTTTTATTTTCCGTGGATTTATTTCTTTAGACCCTTCAGGTCATTCACGTTCCGGCGTTGACTAGACTCAAATATATCCCATCAAATTCTTCACTACAAGTGGCTCATTCTTTATAGTCCCTCATTTGTGATCAATATATATATATATATATATATATATATATATATATATATATATATATGGCATTTATCTTGCTAAAGTTTGCAAGTTAATGATATTTTTAACTTCAAGTTCAATTATACTTGTATGTGGACTAAAATAATTTGTTTGATTTTTTTATTCAAAATAATTTCTCTGCATTTATGAAGCTTCTGGATTTCTTCCATTAATGTCGGAAAATGTCCCTCATTAAATATTTAATCAATGAATCATGTATTAAACAATTTGTTCATTTGGTCAAAATTTTGCAGTATCTAATGAATCTTTTGCCAATAAATATTTGATTTTAAGATCATCATAGAAACGAGGAAGAAATATTATTTCATTGACATTCTCCTGCAAGGAGATCTTATCTCGTTCCTGTATTGCTTCTCATATTATAAGCTATTCTGGAGCCTTCAATCAAGTCAGAAGAACTTGTTTTAGTCATAATACAAGCTCTAGTAGAGCATTCAATCATGTCTAAAATTATAGTTTGGAACATTTATTTTAGGGTATATAGTTTAACCCATTGGCAAAACTTTACGAGCCTATTTTCTTGATATAACTACTTCTGGAGAAAATTCAAGAGGTATAAAATATAAAGAATATTTTCTTTCAATATTTTCTTTCAAGTTATTCATCAGATCAGTAAGATCTTTTCAATCATGATTTGGAGTTATAGTTCTTCAGGAACTATACCATATATATTCATAAGAATAATGACTACGAAAATCATGAATTTTGTGCAATCTTTTCGAATGTATATAATGTAGGCGTATTTTCAACGACATAAGATTCATCATTCTTGCCTTTATTTTAATTAGCTATATTCATTTTATTAGCCACTTTTGTTTGGCTTCTTTCCATTCATGATTTGACCTAAGGTTGGATTTTCAACCACCTTTAGTTATATCATTGGTTGCGCTCATAGCCCTCAAAATAGCTAGTCTTTCATAAATTTGGCATTTGTTTTAGACAATATTTTTGAACCATTGGGTCTAAAATTATATTATTTTCACTCACTTCAAGGATGTAAAATTTTAATTTTTAATTTTTGTCATAACATAATAAAAATCTTTAAATTAATAATAAAAATTATCAAAACACTTACCACCATTTTAGGAGCACGAGTATATAGAGAATCAAATATCAAATAAGAATATTTTTTAAACACTCAATAGAAAGGAATGTGTACAATAACATTGTTTCTGCATTTATTTGTTATCACGGGTCAATAGAAAGGAAGTTGAACTTCCAACCCATTATGTCTGTTGGAAATCGAGATACAGAACAATAGAAAGAAAATTTATTATAGAAAATTCACACACTTTGGTATATTTTTTCAAATCTCTATTTTTTATTTTTTATTACAATCACGAGGCTTACTATTTTTGTACTTTTTATTTTTTTGGATAAACTAATTATATTCGGGATGAGGATCGAATATTTTTTTGTACTTTTTAAATCTCTCCTAAAAATAATATCGGAGAGGATCGAACATATACTCTCAAGATTAAAATTTTAAACCCCTCCCAAAAATAATGCAAAAAAAAAATCAAATATATACTTTCATCCCAACTATTCACATACGCCAATTGAGCTTCTTCAACTATTTTTGTTTTCTAACTTTCGAACACTAGCTATTAAATATCATAAAAAATTAGGTCTATTCTACATTATTTTGGACTGGGTCCTATCTAACCATATCTCATAAGACTTATACATAATAGGAAACAAAGTGGCCGACAAAAATAAATGCAAATAAATCTCAATAATGCATGATATAAGAATTGATAAGTATTAGATGATAAATATTAAATAAATACGAATAAAGCAAATGGGTTTTGACCTGCTATCAACACCGAAACAAATGAATAGAAAGTTAGACAAATTAAAGCTACAAACACACACCAAAAATGTCGTGCAGTTTCGCCCTCAGAGACAGAAAACACCTAAGCTAGAAGATGAAGGGGGACCACTGGACCAAGTTGATGTGACCAAGAGTAACTGCGATACGAGCACGCCACCGCCACCCACTCCGTCGCCGGCAGCACCGCAATGCCACAAGTCCAAGTTCTAACGACGCCGTACGTAAAGTTTTAAGGTTGATTTGTGGTTTCACTTTGCCTAAAAGTTCTTCTTTAAGAATCTTTAAATTGTAATGGTTGATACGGTAGAGATTGTCGTGATAAGATGTTATAAAATTAATAGGAAAGATAAGAGAAAGAAAATGAGTTCCGTTTTTTCATTCACGAGAACAATGGAAGAAGCTCTTATTTATAGAAATAAGTCCTAATTTCACTATTTGCAAGGTATTCATGAACGATAATCCTGTGCATTAATAGTAATCATGAACAGTAAACTCGTGAATGAACAATATTGTTGAACATTAACCTCGTGTATGAACAATACCCGTATATTGAATAGTATTATTCACATATACAACGCTTATGAACAAAAGAAAAAAGAAAAGAAAAAAGAACCATACTAAAGTTCTCTCCATTTTGATCGAGCAAGAAACAAATGGAAGCCATACCATTAAAAATCTGCATGAGAATTAGTTCAGAGAGTGGCACGTGGAAGTTAAACACTTAAATTACATTCATTTCGAGTAGCTTATCTTTAAGTTGACAGCCGGACAAATCTTAGTTTAAGTCTGAAACTGGGTTTATATGCTTTGAGACACCACTCCAATCGATACAGGGAGAATACTCATGCGCGATGATGAGATGCTATATATTCTACATGGATTATCTTATAATATTATATAGTTTTTCCTTGATCTGGGCAGTTACCTTGTATTACCCGATAGAAAAATGTTACTCTCCCTATATATGTGCCTCATTCATTGGAGACTCTCACTCACTCAATCCAAGTGTCTCTACACTAAACCTGTGCCCCTCCTAGCCCCAAACCCTGTAGCATGATATTGTCCGCTTTGCCCCGCGCACAAGCACCGTCGAGCTCACGGTATTGTTTCTTGAGACACCTCACAAAAGACCTCACACTAAAAGAGGTATCCACACCCTTATAAGGCATGCTTCGTTCCCCTCTCCAACCGATGTAGGACATTACATCCTCCCCCACTGGGAATACAGCGTCCCCGCTGTACACACCGGTCCAGGGTCAGGCTCTGATACCAAATTTCTCTGGAAGTGTGCGAGTGAGGAAAAAGCACACTGAAAAGTCTCGTGTTAGTACGTGGGGATAGTCATTGATTCTTGAAGCGGCCAAACGTTACACTAACTGCCGTGAGTCTGTGACAGTGACCTGCGCTATCGACCTGCCAAAAGCTAGAGTAGCAATGAAACACCGCAAATGGCCACCCACAGCGAGAGCTGGAGCTGACCTGCACCAAGCTGGAGGCCGGAGCTGCCAAAAATTCAAAAGGCTTGCATTTACCTTTTTTGTTTCTATTTCTTTTAGGTGCAACTTAGTCTACGTTCAGTTATTCGTCTCTTATTCTGTGAGCTATTTTTCTAAAAAAAAAAAGAAAAAAAAAAAAGAAAAAGTTCATAAATTTTTTGTGATATCACTTAGATTACTGTATTTCTTTTCTTATCAATTATTCCCTGTGATTTTTTTCATTTAAGTGCATCTTTAACACGGTTAGCAATTGAGTTAAGTTGCCCATTTTGCCCTTATTCTAGAAGTAACTTTTATGATATGTATTACCAAATACATAATAGTGGGATTTTCCATTAATTTCCTTTTTTATACTAGGGATTAATTTATCAGTGACTATTTCTGTATATTCACAATCAAACTCCTGTTAAACATCTCTGTGATTACACCTACATGCTCCTTGTTTTCCTTTTATATTTTTTTAACCATCCCTGCTAGACTCTGGACAATAATGGTACACCTTCAGTTAAGCCTAACAAACAGAAATCAAGAGAGATATTTGATATTGTCTTTTTGTTTGCATGATACTCTGAGCATGATTTGTTTGTACTTCAATTCCAAAATTGTGTATCTCCATTCTTATTTTTTTATTTTTTTATGATATGAAGATTATTGGACCTATGGATTTGAATAGAAACTTTTAGCATGGTATGATTGCCTAGCAGTTGCTGAGGATAGCTGAAGTGTGATGACATTTGCTTAATATTTTCAAAAAGTTTGATGAAAAGAGATATTTGATTTTCAGTTAAATATTGTTTAAAAATCATGATATGAACTCAAGCTGTTGAGCTTCTCACAAATCTGAGTTTGTGAAGGCAAATTCGGGTACATGTATGTATCAGCAGCTTCTTTCTTTTTATTAAACTGTATTTCACTTAATGATGAAACTAATATTACCTTGGTCTAATGATCTTATGGTGCATGTGATGGAATGACTTGTCAAGCTAAAATTGTTTGATAAAATAAATTTCAATTATCAAAATTGTTTTATCCAACAACAAAAATTTGTTAATAGATCTCACTAGTGCCCCCACCTGCAGCAATGGAAGTGCCCCACCTACAGCAATGGAAATTCCTGGCTATGTTCATATATTATAATGTTCAAACTGAATGACCTTTCTAAAGAAATTAAAAGTTGTTTTGATAAAATGATTTATTGTTTGATAAGTCAATTTGTCAAGTTATTCGTCTGGAACTTCATTTTTTTCCTTGCAGAAAACACCAGTATCAAAACGAAGTTAGAAAGGTGTTAATATGTAAAGCTTACAGTGTGGATGTGTATATGCTCTTGGACATTATGAATGTACATAATTTTAGTGAAATCTTTTTACTGCTTTGATACTTTTAACATACTAACACAGAAAGTTACGTAAGGGTAAAATGAGCAAGTTAACTCAATTGCTAACAGTGTAAGGTAAACTTCATGAAAAAAAAAAACATTGGGGGTAATTGATAAGAAAAAAAGTATAGAGGTATAAGTGATAAAAAGAGTAAACCACAAAGGGATTTACGGACTTTTCCCAAATAAAAATAAGAAATCCAACCAAACCAAATCATGAACACCCCTTGCTTGACCCCTACACGAAACTGAAACATGTAGAGGATTATTAGAGGATAGAAGAAATGCCAAGACGAGCGAGAGACCAATGACCTAAAAAAGAAAGGTATAAAGCTGTTCCACATAACAGGTTAATTTGGCAAAACACAAATGCTGCAAGGTAAGTTGGTTTATTCAGGGAAAGACATCACCACTTATCGAATTGCAGGTGACCAAGCTTAAGTGTAATGGTCCACTTAAAAGGGCATCAATCCACAACTGAGATGTGGTCTTCTTTGAAGTTGTTCTCGATATATTTGTTCTAGGGAAATGAGGAGATGAATGGACACATAATTAAGAGGACAAGTAGCATTAGTTGCTTGATATGGGATTCAAATGTTAGCTCAAGCTCTGAGGCCTAGTTTCTATACGATGAAAATCATCCGTAGCAAATTCCCTAAGCCGAAACCAAACCACGGAAAAGAGTAAAGAATTTCTTAAAAGACCAAAAGATAAACAAGCATAAATTTAAACTATGATAGAACGTCTCTGCTGTCCTCATGATAACAAAGAACCCTGCCGTATGCACCTTATTATGACATCTATAGAAAACAATTGTCCCATCAACCTAACAACAAAAATTCAAACAAGAAAAACAAAACAAAACTTAAAATAAATCCGCACGGCATTTTCTTCTTTTTCTCTCTAACTCAAAGTAAAATGTTCATGTCTATAACTTCAATCATTTTCTCTGAAGATGTCTATATAATATAATTTACCTCCTTTAACACTCATTTACGGCCACCAGTCTTTCTCGGAGGAGGAGCAGTATCCTCGTCATCTGACTGAATATCTCCATACTGCCATATTCCACGCCTGCTTGTCCGTGCCTCTCCCTGAAACATCTCCAAATTATCAAGGGCCAGCTGTCTTTCTTTTCTGTCCCACCTATTTCTTTTTTCTATCCTAGCAATTCCTTCCTGGAAATTCCACAAGAAATAAAATGTTCATAGAAGGATGATTTGTAGGTGAATTCCTGTATGTGCATAGGTAATCAAACCATAACAATTTGAAAGCATTTCAAGCAAGAATAAGCAACAATAAAAACCTGTAGCATGGCTGCGTTAACACTGATCTCTGCATCCACAGCAACAAGAGTTACAGCAAGAATTGTGCCAGTTCCCTGTCCCTTCACTTTTCCTCCCGAAGTATCTCTCTCCTCAACCTTGGCCCTAAATTCTTTTCCACTGTTTAAGGTGAGTTCACTCAAATACTCAGCTGCTTCGTGGCCAAAATCCTCTTCCAAATTTGGAATCTTAATGTACGCAAGGCTGCATAATTGAGCAAGCCCAGGTGCAGCAGACACAGATGGATCAAGAGGCCGTAACTGACTGTATGGTACTTCTTCTTGATTTCCATAATCAATGTAGAATACTTCAAATATGTCCTTAGGAGATTCAACTGGTCCTCGAGGTGTATTGACAACCTATACAATTCAATTATCAATAATCAGTATAAAGAAAACAAAGAAATATAGTACTGTACACCAATTCACACAGAAAAGAGAAATTAGTGTGCAAACTGACAAGGTGATACAAGTATTGCACTGACTGTTCAGCATCTCATCAATTTTGAGAGTCGAATTTCAGGAAATTGCAAAGAGTGGTCATAAAGAGAACATGCATAAATGTTGCCCATATAATGAAATATCAAGCTAATTAATCTCAGGTCAACTAAAATCTAGCAGGAAAATTGTACTAGTAGATTGTATACATAAATAATCCGGTTTAATGACATGAAACTACATTACAATAATATTCTGAGCTTAAAACTCTAGCAGCTTGCTTTGATTATGCAAAAAAAATTACAAGTAGGATGGTATAAAAGATGGACCATATTAATGGAATGCCAACCTAAATGGTCGTCGAGAAGCCTCTGAATAAATCATTAACAAAGTAAGGAGAAAAAAGAAGCTCAAGGATCTAAAACAGGAGAAAGATGCAGAAGAAATGGGTCTCTTGTCTCAATCATCAAGTGATATATTTCTCATTAGCACCTATTTTGTTTTTTTGGAAATACATTTGCACCTATTTAATGGCCACATGTCAATGCCTAGTCTTACACTGTAATGGGGGAAGGGAAAAAAATACAAAAACAAAAACAAAAACAAAAATCTCATGTTGGAACTTACCATTGCCCTGTACCAAGACTTATCAGCATGAAAATAACAAAGGACTACGTCACCCTTCTTAGGATTAAAAGCACCAAGCACAGGAGCTTCCTTCAGGTTCAAGGAAGCAAGTTGTTGCTGAATGGATGCTATCTTTTGATCTCCAACTGTCTGGACATAGAATTTACCACCACCTAAGACTTCCGTAACAATTACCTACAAATTTATAACAACGGGATAAGTCATTCATCATTTTTAAACAGAAAATAAAGGTCACTAGTGAAATAGTATCCTAAGCACCTTAAGTACTTCTTGTTGTTTGTTTTCAACAGTTGCACCATTGGGTACTTCTTCCCCTTCAACAAAACTTTCCCAGATCTGCAAAACAATTCACTTTAGAACAGTTAACAGAAAAAGAACAGAGGTAATGTCAAACATTGTTGGGGACCCCATACTTTCAGCTTTTGCCTCTTAGCAGCTTGTTCAGCTTGTTCCAGAAGGTGAAAATCAGGAATTCTGTCGCTGCCAAAGGAAGTTTGAAGTTTTGCAAGACCAGCTTCAAGTAGTGTAACTGCTACATTGGTCCTTGACTCCCATAAGGATCCCAAGAATGTTCCAGTCCGATCAACAGTTTCGACCTCAATCTGCAAACATTAAAAAGTATTTAATAAAAATAAGCAACCAATGCGCATAGAGTTGGCTTAGAATCATGCAAACGTCTTGCGTGCATTGCTTTTTCGCATTTCAAAGTCATTTCCATGGGTTTTTAGGCATTTTTTCAGTGGTATTTTTATAATTTTGTGTCTTTGTTTTAATTGATTTTTTAGGGTTACTTAACAGTTAACACCATACAAAAGGGTTGCTGAATAATTTATATTTTGATTATCATAATTGAGCATATACAGATTCTCTTTTCAGTTCCAATTTCTGTTTAGCCCAATTCTTGTGTTTGGCATTAACAACGTACAGGAATCTTAAGTTCAGAACTTACCTCGACATCTCTCTGCATTATCTTTCGCCTCATCAGTGCAACTGCTTCATTAGAATATGGCTCATCACGACCAGGACATCTGACACCAGAGAATGAGAAAGCAATGCTGCAAGTTTCTTTTGGAATCAACAATTTGAAACGATGGCCACTCAAGACATATTCCACGACAGCAGGAATTCTTCTACTTCGGTGCAAGAAAGGCAAGAAGTCTCTGGCCTTCTTGGCTGATGCCTATTACGGATCAAAAGGAAACAGTTACACATTTAAGTAATATTTTATAAGCTTCAGAGTAAAAAATTTATTATAATAATTTGTTCTCACTGTGGTCAAGTCAGTTATATGCATCACTGGAGAATCCTTGGCAGAATGGATTCCTTTCCTTCCCGAAGAGGCACGTGATTCAGCAGCAAGAAGAGCATCATAGTAGTTAGATCTCTCTTCAAAGTCACGATGTCTAATGACAGTTCCAAAGCCACGGCCAACAACCAACTCGGCAACATTTACACCAGTTTGCTGACTTCCAACAGGCGGAACAGATGAAGGGGCATCATCACTGTCAACCTTCGCAGTGGACAATAGGAAGACTGATCCAAAATCCATTACTCTGGAATCAGCACCTCCTGATGGAACTGCGGATCCATCCATGGGAGCAACCTTTCTAGAATATTCCATTTGAACATTCACCTGAAAAAACATTAGTAATCAATTATAAGTTTATAACTGAACTCGGCTATGATACTAAAAGAAGGAATCATAACACATTATCATACTTGATGACCAATGAGTCGTGTTCTCAAGAACTCCTTTGCTTCACGAGCATAGGGAGCTGGTTTTTCATCTCGACGAGGATTGCCCATTTTTGGACACCTAATACTAGAAAGGTTAACTCGTCTCTCAGCTAGTGGACTTCCATATGGAATGGAATCATCAGCAACAACAATGCAATCTCCACTCACAACCTCAACCACCTGTAAAATTCAAGTTAAAATATTATATGCTTACAGCAATTAAGTTTGACTATTTGGCATAAAAAATGATTGAGGAATATTTCACCTTTCCAGTAAAATTCTGGTCATGAATTGCCTTCGAATTTGAAGGTGGTGGTACATAGTTTGTCCAGATCCTTAACCTGCTTTTCTTGGCCTGGAGCTCTGCAGTCTTCAGTCTCCGTTTTGCCTCTTCTTCCATCATATTTGCACTCCATTCAACATACTTAGCAAAACCCTTTTCAATGGAAAAAATCAAAGTGAGAAGGTTTTCAGAATTTCTGTCTGGTATTTCATCATGTTAAATGACAGAGAGAAACATTCTAAATCTCCCTCTAGCAAACTATCAAGCAAATCACTTTGGCACAATTTTCAAATACCAAATCCATGGGGAAAGAAACCAAGGATATCGGACTCCAACTTAATGTCATGCAATAGATATGGCCTACAAGTACTATTGCTTTAACCTATGATAAAAAATGATAAAACGAATTAAAATTGACGACTGATATAAAATTCATACTTTATTATGTCTACACTTTTATCAACAACAAAAAAAGAATGACAAATATTTGGAGATAAATAGTCCACTCAAGCAAACAGCTAGCAGTGATAGCAAGTACAATGTTTCCTTTTTCAAATTCATTTAGTTGGTACTTGGTAGGTAGTTAATCAAATACCCTGTTGGAACTTCAATACATTTTGTTTCCTACTCATCATATATATAATATACTTCAAGTACTGACAATGCCCCGTCTATGGAACCCCTAAAATTAAGTAAAATACAAGAGGATGTAAAAAAACCAATAAAGTAATGCTACATTGCAAAAAAAAAAGCAGTAAACACATCAGGTCTCGTCTAACAATAATTGATTTAGGCAAAATAAATCATGGTAATATCATTCTTTACAAGTGAATCACATACATTTTCCACGAGTTCCAATGCCAGGTCCTTTGCTGATTCACCATCAGGATAATACACTGACCCAATCAAATTGCTGAACTTATCAACACCTTCCAGGACAATGCGAACCTACATACCCATTTGGAATTTAGAAAATTTTCAGAAATGCAAAAGCAAAATAACCTATAGAAGTATGTTACTTACATCTCGATTCAATACACGCATCTCAGTGAAAAATTTAGCTTCAGTTGCAAAAGGATCAGTTGCAGTTTCCACAGATGCTGAAGCTGCAAGTTTTTGGGCAGATGTAAGTGGGGCTCGAGGTTCCCCAGTAACTTCTCCATTAGTATCATCAGCAGTCACCTCTGATTCAACAACACTTTCAGATGCAGCTCTCCTTCCCATTTGTGGGGCCTGGTGTAAAGAGAAACTTAGTGGCATGCATTAAAAAATGGTAGGAATAGCAACAGCATTTATGACAAATACCTGAATTCCAGCAACGAAAACTTGGACAAACTGAAACTCCGGGAGCAAATAGATACGGATGGTACTTCCATCACGAACCTGCTCAACAATTGCCTCCATGGGTAATCCCTTGTTTGCAGCTAACAAACCCATAGCATCCAAGTTACTAGGGTCACCAATGGCAGAAGGTGGTAGATTTCTGATGGATGCCTCAGCAGCACCAGGAACCTGCAATCACCATAAAAGCATATGGGGTTCATGAGAGATTTCAATAAATTAAACAGAAATAATCACTAGACATCTCCATTTTCCATCACATTCCAGCAGCATCCAGACTTGTCGATTTAAATGGCATTGGAAGATGATAGCTATAAGATATGTTGGATAACAACTAATAGAGCATAACTTCATTCTGTTGTTAAACATTAATTTTAAAAATGAACATGCAAATGTTTATTTCCACAACACACATGTGAATTATTACATGCAACATGTAATTAGGTCCCCTTTGGGATAATGAAAGTAGGAAACACTTACTTGACATCAGCAAAGATGCCTAACAAAATGCACATTGGTTTCAAGTAAACCAAGTTACCAGAACATCAAGGAATGGACATCTAATTTTCAATGTTTGCAGTAAAAAGCACACCTTAATCACAAAGCTTTTTAAATTTTCTTTTATGAGAAAGAGGAAAACCCAAACAGACCTTGCTCCAACGACCAAGGCCTTCTTGTTTAGCTTGTTCTTCTAACCGTAACAATTCTGCCAGGTATGGACTCACTTCTCCTTTCTGTTGCCCCTGCTCTCTGATCTGCATGAACAACATCGCAATAAAAAACGCAATTCAGCAACGGAGAAAACAATCCAAACTTAGCAAAACCAAGATGGAAGCACACGGTAATTCAACCTTAGCCCATCCCTGAGAAACAACCAGCATTGCAACATTTTTGTCACCGAGAAAAACGGTTCCAAAGTCTCTATTTATGGATGGCACATTGTAATCAACTTTGAAGGTCACCTCCTGTTCCAATAACATAATGTCAGACACAGAGCATGCTTCATCAGAACAAGATTAAACCACAGCACTCAATCAGAAAACAGTAGCAACACTATTTACCGCACCTTCCCTATGCAGAGCTTCCTCAGGAACTCTCTACTGTCCCATGCAAATGGCTCGTCCACACCGCCTCTACGTGCCTAGAAAATTTTTCAAAAATTCAAACACAGAACACCACAACAATTAGAACATAGAAAATTTTATTTGAAAAAAAAGAAAAAAAGAAAAAAAATACAATACAACTTAGCACCCAGGTTTAAAATTTTCCTAATGAAGGGAAAAAAGAGAGTCAAAGAAGTAAAATTACCTGTCTAGGAGCCATTAAAGAAGATAAAGTGATGGTTTTCTCAGGCAGAGGACCAGGCTTGGTGCTAGCCATGGCAACAATGACCAAGCAATCCCCTGAAGGAACAGCCTTCACCTTTCCCCTGTACCATCCAGTGGCCACAGTCGCTGTTGATGCCATTTTTCAACAGCTACCGTACGATCTGCAACCAATTCAAAAACAAAAACAGAATCCAACCAGAGAGATTCAGCAATCTTTCAAGGAATTTAAAGCCCCAAAAAAAAAAAAACACTGAACTTTAAGGACATGCCGTCATATCTATTATGCATTCATAAACGCTCACACAACACACATGCAATGGATGCAATCAGCATAAAACAGAATACAAAAAATGCATCCAGCAAGAGATTAATGAATTCTGCATAGAAACTCAGATCCAGAAACAGAAAACGCCAGGGATCAAATAGGATCGGAAAATCAAATAGGAAATGCGATTGATCACAGAGAGAGGAGTGTGGGAGCGCTACCTTGAAATGGTTCTCAGTTCGGATCTACCTTATCTAAAACAGAGTTGAGCCCAACGTGAAAACAGAAAACGCAGAATTATGGCAAAACAAGAGCTTGAGGCGCAGGATCTGTGGTAGAGAGAGAAATGTGAGTTCGGAAGAAACAGGGTTATAAAAACAAGGGAGTTACTGAATTGTGAGCTACTTTTGAATAGTTACCCCTCGTTTTGTCTAATAATTTCGGGAAATGCCCTTAGATTCTGAATTGAATGTAAAGAACCGTCTTCGTCATCCTATCCATCATTACTAGATTTAGCTGAGGATATACTAGATAGAGATAACAGCCTCTATTATCTCAGCTGTCTTTTTTTTAAAAAAAAAAAAAAATATTGTATTTATTAATAAAAAATATCTTTCATTTTCTCACACGGCTAGCATCACTTGTATTGTTGCGTGGGTAACAATACAAGAGCTTTGGTAACTGGTTTGGCAAATTTATAAAAGACTAGAGATGGCAATCACTATGTTGGTAAGGGGAAGATCTACAAGGATATAAGTGGAACTTGACCTGACAAAGCAATTATAAGTGGAGTACAAAATTAAGGGGAGGTCCAAAAGAGTGGAGAATGAAGGAGTGAACTGTTTGCTAGAAGATTTATTTTGGAATTGATGGAAAAATATAGATAATATTGAAAAATATCATGTTTGGTTCAGGTTTTTTTTTTAAATATTAGGCAAATAGGATAGATGAGAAAATGACTTTTGTGTTGATTTTTGAATGAAATTCACTGTTACAAAATATCACTTGAGATGTGGTATTTTGAGATAACTGGGGAAGTGAAAAACAGGTGCGAAGTTTCTCCCGAACATAGATTTTGCAAATTTAAATAAATTTCCCTAATAATATTTCAGTCAACCAAACAACTTTTTTTATATTTTCCTACCAAACTTACTTTCCAACCATTTCTCTAATAATTATGTTTTCCTAGTATTTAAAAATTTTCTCCTCGATCAAAACGCACCCTAGTGTCTTTGGATGTGAAAGTTATGGCCATAATTTGGAAAACTGCCCTATGGATGCTAGAAACTCCAAATCTAGCCAAGCTCGTAGACCTCAAAAGGTGAATCCTAAAAGGGGTGATAGAAATAAGGAAAAGGAAAGAAAAGGCCAACATCAAACTTTCCCCCACTACCCCTCACACTTCAGCACCTTATCTTCCCTGAAAGAGCTAAAGACACCAGAAGCGCAAACCAGTGTAAACAACCTTATTAACTCCATGGACACAATGTCTGCAGTACCAACCCCTGTACAACCCATGAAAAATCATATCAAAGTGGTAGAAAACTCCACTGCCTATAAGGTGGTTTGGGATTCTATTGACAACCTGAGCCTATGACTATGAGGACATGGAAGTGGTCGACAACATGGTAATCCTAAATGCACACAAAGACCATGCGAATTTTCACAAACCACATCAAGCCTACTTGCACAACAACCTTGAGGAAGATTCAACCCTACTAGCGAGGGACACTGTAATAACTAAAATAATAAATTACATTAATTAAAAATTAATATATAATTAGAGGACTAATTAGGTGAAAAACTTAATTTAAAACTAAGTTATTTTTCAAGATAAAAGTGTTGGGTTAAAACACAATTATACAAAATGAGTGAGACATAAAACAAATCAAGTATCTGACACGCCTCCTTAGAACCCAACTCATTAAAATTGAACCTAATGGACAAGGGTGTGGGTAGTTGGGGGTGAAAAGGTCATTTCCCTTGAGGGTGTGTTTGATACAAGTTTTTGTTGAAGATACCTAGGTAAATGAAAATGGTATTTTTATATGTCCATGTTTGGTATCAGATTTTAAAAAAATTTGCTAGGAAAATTATTTGCCCAGTATTTGCTTTTTGTGTGTAAAAAACAATGTTAAATAAAATCACCTACAAGATGGTATTTACTGATAGCTATTAATATTCCAAAAAGGGTTGTTGTGGAAATCCAAGCAAGAAGACCAAAATGACCCTGATGTTGGGGAAAACTATTCAGCAAACTAAAACCATATTTTCCCATTTTATTTTATTCAAGGGTTGTTGTGGTAATTTAACCATATTTTATCACCTATATTTTACCTTCAACCAAACATAGACTTAGCAAACTAAAACTAATCTTTTTGGTAATATTTTGGCCTACCAAACAACTTTTTTTAAACTTTCCTACAAAACTCATTTTTTCACCATATTCCTAGTAATTATATCTCTCTAGTAAAAAAAAATTCTCCTCTACCAAACGCCCCCTGAAGATATTCCCAAAATATCTAAAGCTCTTTCTTTTCCCTCACTCTTTTTCCTCTACCTCTCATTTCATCGATTTCTTTCTCCATCTCTATCAAACTCACGACTTTCTCTCTCTCTCTCTCAAGACACCATATGTATCTCCTTTATTTCTCTTTAATCGACCAAGTGAGAAAGGAGAGGAGAACCCACTATTTCATCTTCTTGGTCCCATCCATGAGTGAGCATTGTAGGAAACATGTATCCCTCTCTTCAAGGAACAAATTCGTACACCACCTAGGCTTGAGAAGGAGGTGTGTTTTCCACCCTTGTAGCTAGAAATCCTACCTCCTACTCTTTATGGGTGTTTCTAAGGTAAGAAGACATTAACTTCTTTGAGTTTTGTTGAGTTTTAATTTAGGGTTCATGGAGAAATTGGGGGGGGGGGAGTTTGGGGTTTAAGGCATAGATATGGAAATTGATGCTTGAACCTTGATTATGATGTGTATGAGTGTTGTTGATTGTGTTGAAAGTGGATTTGAGCAACCATTGGATTAGGGTTGTGTGTTCTTGAAACTTCAAGGAATTTGGGGTAAGCTCCTAAACTTGTGAGTTTGTTGTTGTTAGAGGATGTGGTTTGATTTTGAGATATATGTATGTATTAATTGGAATCACACACTTTGAATATGTTGTGTCGGATTCTATTGGTACTGACTTGCTTGGACTAAGAGGAGTTAAAGAATATAGCCTTGAAAGGTAAACTCTTAAACCTTGGGATTAGTCCTCTTTGGTGTTCCACCATACTCCATTGAGAGTAGGGGTGTTCATCAACCGATCCAAACTGCGGTGACCAAATAGAAAATTCGATAACAGAATTAATCGAAAATCAAAAACCGAAAAAAAGGCAAAATTTAATTAGATTGGATCAATTTTCGGTTTGATTGGTGAAAACTGATTCAATCCAAACTGATCCAATATATTACCTTACCCTCTACCTACTTGAGCCTATTCCCCAATAATAGCCCAAAAACCAGATAGCAAAATTCTAAACCCAAGACTCATTAACTCATCATGTTGGAGAAAGTGGATTGTGTTTGATCTATGTTATGTCTTTTTTTGGGGTAAGATACATCATATATATATATATATATATATATATATATTAGTAGGCTACATTATATATTTTTATTGCACGGATTATTATTGTACAACAGCTCCTCTGAAGGATGAAAATTTGGATTACTCCGTATCTCAAACAACCACATTGTAATTTTTTTGTTGGAGGTAAAAGATATTAATTCAACTTTTTGCTGTACTATATAGAAAATTATATTATCGTTTACTTATGCTTCTTCTAGATTGCACAATAATCATCATACAATCTTTACAAAGCCAATACATACAAAAAATATATTATTTTCACAATAATCATCATACAAATTTTAAGCTTTTCAAAAAATCGAAAATCAATCCAATCCAAACCAAATAAAATTGGATCGTATTGAATCTGATTTGAAAAAAATCCAAACCGAATGGATGATTACATGATCAAATCGAAGGGATTGAATCGGATGATTTTTGCTTCCAAAATCGATTCAATTCAGACCGCGAACACCCCTAATTGAGAGTCATGGTTTATGTGGATTGATATGCATTGTTTATTAGAATAAGTAATAATGCATGCTAATTGCTATAAGATATTATGCTTGTGTATGAATGCATGATTGAGGAGGTTCCCTAGGCAAGAGAATATGGATATATGGACTTCTTTTGGAACCAGATTCGTGGAGAAACTTCTTATGGTTAACACTTAAGCGAAGGAGCCCATAGGGACTTCTCTCGAAAATGTCATATGAGCATTCCGGTGTTTGACAAGTTGGCCAATGGGCTCACTCTAGTGCTATATGTATGTATATATATATGCCTCTTAGGATGAGATATAACATGTTATGCTTGTTTTAATGCATGTATATCATCAAAGTAAACTTAAGGGTGGAGGAGTCTCTAAGGACCCTTAATTTACTTATATTGTTATCTCACCCCGTGCAGGGAATTATGTTTTAGGTACAACAAATGATGCAGTTGAGACTTCCCGTGGCATGAAACCGGTTTAGGGAATAATAGCTTTTCCATTCTGTTTTGCTCCTTTTGACATAGGAACATGCTAAGACCTTATTTTGAATTATACATTTGGACAAGTGTATTATGAGAAATTTGTATATGTTTCGTCACATATGTAATTATGTCAAGAGGGAAGTTGATTATAAGATAGACTTGATTTTTGATGAGGTTAATGTCAAGTGGACAATGTATGTAATTGTATATTATGATTCATTACTTGTGGCTAGCATTCATGTAAGAAGCATATTGTAATGATTTAATGGTGTGATGCCAAGAACATTGGGTTCATGAATGAGTTGTGTATCGTGGTGATGATTTTCATGGAAGAATGTTGAAATGGTATATTAGGTACTTCAAGGAGTGCTTAAGTTCTTGGAAATGAGGTCCAATACCTCAAAAGAACTTATCAATTTCCTGGAGAGCACGCTACAGCGTGCTAAAATGCGTTACAGTTTTAGAGAGCATTATAGCGCGCTAGAACAATAAAAAATTGCTCATTTGAGTGTACTACAGCACGCTCTAGGGCACTAAAACGCGCTCTGAGACAGTAAGCAACTCGTCGAGCGCGCTACAGGGCGCTAATTGAATAGAAAAATATCTTATGTGCGCACTACAACACACTGAGTAAGAGATATTTACCCCATTTGGTTTATGTGAGCCATATGTTATGGGGTTGTAGGCTAGTGTCGGGTATTCCTAACTAAAGTAAGTTCATTAAATAAGGAAGTAGAC